CTAAATCTGTTTCTACGGGGCCATAATGTAACATAGAAGATAATGGAGCCCTTTATACATTATCGTGTTTCTTTAGAAATAAATAATGGACAAATGGAGTCTTTAAACGCCTCAGATGTAAAGTTATTCGCTGTCAAAGTGACGCCAAAATGAATGGGAGACAATGGAAATGCTTACGCAAGTGAAGTTCTGCTACAAGATGGCGGCACCCGGCCGGCTTCAACTTCCGGTCGATGGATTACCCCCCCTTGGTTTTAACCAGGCTAGCAACTTGTCACAATAATATAGAATGCACGGTCACAGGCATTCAAATGAATAACGTCATCAGCCATGTCGACCAATCAGAACTGTTTGTTTGTTAACATATATACAGTGCATTGCAAATGTAGTTCAAGTAATACAAATGGCTACATCCTGAAAAGGCTAAATGCAATGTTAAATAAATGTTTGGCACTGTGAGCTCAGTTATCAGGAAGAGGAAGCTGCATAAAACCACCTAGACAGTGGGTACATATAGATATACACTCCTATATGACTTCTGCTCAGAGGACGATTTAGTTAAAAAGAAAAGTCTCTTGGAGGTTTAGATGAAACCGAGGAAAATTTCCATAGGGACAAAAATCAGCCGCAACAAACTTTTAAGATCCAGCATGTGACTACATCTTATTTACAAGAGGATGAATTTAACCTTACAATATATATATATATAAAAAAATATATATAAAAAAAAAAGGCAAATCACAACAATCCCAATGAATTTAAACCACAATCTTGGCCGGCAGAAAACAACAGCAATAAAGCCATCATCAGTGTGTAAATGATTAAGACATGCCATTTTTGATACCAGCGAATAAATCTGTTTTTTTTATTCAAGTCACTTAATGGCAGGCACAGATAGTTATGCTAGAGACTTTGGCAGCATGCCTTAAAACACGATTAATTAATATCTGTATCAAACATAATCGGAAACACAGAAGCTTTGTATTTATTTTGGCCGTGTCCCAGCTGGTTCAGGAGAGGGACCAGCTGTCAGCCTTTGACATGCTCGGTGTAATGCCAGAGGACAGGTTTACTTGTAGCGCGATGTGAGTTTTTACTTGAGTAATGGGTTTTATTTGTTAAAGTGTGCCAGAGTTCAGTTTGGAAAGGTTCCAGCTGTGACGGCCGATAAAGACATTGGCGGATTTTTTTTTTTTTTCTGACAGGGTCCAGATTATCACTTTCCCTCAGGCACATTCCTCACCGCCCCCACCCACCTGCCCAAAATAAACCACAGGCCTTAACCCTTTCCACACATACTCTCTCTCAAACACTACAGTTTCCAAACAAACTAGTGTAAGGCAACAGGCAAGTATGTATAAAACCATTTGCATGTTGTTGTAACTGGGTGTATCATCCAGTTTCAGCATTCTCATATTCAGAATGGGGGCGGGGTTGTAAAGTATATATTATACAACCATTCAAATGCCACCCAATCATTGTGTAACATCTCAACGTACAGAGAGTCCTGCTTGTCTTGATTACGCAACTGCCCACGTTTTCTGGCAACGACTTGATATGAAGATCAAGCTTCGAACTGAATGCTAAAACCCAGATAGCATTTCTGTCGCCCGCCAACCAACAGTTGTAAACACCTGCAAACACTTCACTCAGCACATCACATGGCCAGCATACACAAATCACATGACCTTGTTCTCAAGAAGGGTACAAAATGTCCAAATCAAACATGAGCATTAAAAAAAAAAAAAACACCTGCACTGCTCCTTAACCGGAAATCTGTGTTTAAAAATTCCCTTAAGAAGGGTACAAATGGTCACAGCACTTTTGGAGCAAATGATGAGTGTATAAAACAGTCATAATGGGAAAGCATTATTGCTACGGCATGGTACATATTCACAATAGAGCTACTGCATGACGCCTTTCAGTTCCATAAATCAGCCATCAAACCATGAACATACACTCACCGGCCACTTTATTAGGTACCCCATGCTAGTAACGGGTTGGACCCCCTTTTGCCTTCAGAACTGCCTCAATTCTTCGTGGCATAGATTCAACAAGGTGCTGGAAGCATTCCTCAGGGAGTTTGGTCCATATTGACATGATGGCATCACACAGTTGCCGCAGATTTGTCGGCTGCACATCCATGATGCGAATCTCCCGTTCCACCACATCCCAAAGATGCTCTATTGGGTTGAGATCTGGTGACTGTGGAGGCCATTTTAGTACAGTGAACTCATTGTCATGTTCAAGAAACCAATTTGAAATGATTAGAGCTTTGTGACATGGTGGAAGTAGCCATCAGAGGATGGGTACATGGTGGCCATAAAGGGATGGACATGGTCAGAAACAATGCTCAGGTAGGCCGTGGCATTTAAACGATGCCCAATTGGCACTAAGGGGCCTAAAGTGTGCCAGGAAAACATCCCCCACACCATTACACCACCACCACCAGCCTGCACAGTGGTAACAAGGCATGATGGTTCCATGTTCTCATTCTGTTTACGCCAAATTCTGACTCTAACATCTGAATGTCTCAACAGAAATCGAGACTCATCAGACCAGGCAACATTTTTCCAGTCTTCAACTGTTCAATTTTGGTGAGCTCTTGCAAATTGTAGCCTCTTTTTCCTATTTGTAGTGGAGATGAGTGGTACCCGGTGGAGTCTTCTGCTGTTGTAGCCCATCCGCCTCAAGGTTGTGCGTGTTGTGGCTTTACAAATGCTTTGCTGCATACCTCGGTTGTAACGAGTGGTTATTTCAGTCACTGTTGCCCTTCTATCAGCTCGAACCAGTCTGGCCATTCTCCTCTGACCTCTGGCATCAACAAGGCATTTCCGCCCACAGAACTGCCGCTCACTGGATGTTTTTTCTTTTTCGGACCATTCTCTGTAAACCCTAGAGATGGTTGTGCGTGAAAATCCCAGTAGATTAGCAGTTTCTGAAATACTCAGACCAGCCCTTCTGGCACCAACAATCATGCCACGTTCAAAGTCACTCAAATCACCTTTCTTCCCCATACTGATGCTCGGTTTGAACTGCAGGAGATTGTCTTGACCATGTCTACATGCCTAAATGCACTGAGTTGCCGCCATGTGATTGGCTGCTTAGAAATTAAGTGTTAACGAGCAGTTGGACAGGTGTACCTAATAAAGTGGCCGGTGAGTGTATATGGCAGCTGTTTAAAGACAGTCACCAGAAAGGAAATCACAATAAAATTAAACTTAGTGACAAATCCAATTGACAAATTAGACAATCCGTTTTTTTACTTTATTAGATAGTATAGAGGAGAGTGGACAGGAAGCAAAGTGGGCCAGGATCAAAAAGGATTGGCTATGATGACTTAAAGGGACAGTTCACCCAAAAGTGAAAATTCTGTCATTGATTACTCGCCCTCATGTCAGGTGTTGTGTGAATGCGCGTCTGAGATTAATTATTTTGTAAATAAAGTGGTAAATTATGGGGGGGTTTCGCAAACAAAACACTCGCATTGCTTCATAAAACTGAGGTTAAACCACTGGAGTCACATGGATGTCTTTACTACCTTTCTGGGGCTTTTTTGGCCGAACTAACCCTTTAATTGAGACAATGTTTCAATTAAAGACAATATCTCCAATCTGATCGCAAATATACCAGGGATGGCTTAGCATGATTTAAAAACGATATTAAATGGTTTCAAGAGCATTTTTTAATATGGCTTGCAGTGTGTAACATGTGGCTGACTAATAGGAGTCACTGTCATTGACAGCTGGTTCAGATGAAGGCTCTTTATTGGCTTAAATCACAGAGTAACAAATAATAATTCGTTACATTTATATAGCACTTTTCTGGGTACTCAAAGCGCTTTACATGGAAGCGGGAATCTCCTCAACCACCACCAATGTGGAGCATCCATTTGGTTGGATGATGCGACGGCAGCCATATTGCGCCAGAACGCCCACCACACACTGGTGGAGAGGAGACCAATGAGAGATGAAGCCAATCAGTATATGGGGATAATTAGGAGGCCCAAGGGGCAAATTTGGCCAGGATGCCGGAATTACACCCCTACTCTTTTTCGAAGGATTTGGGATTATTTTTAATGACCACAGAGAGTCAGGACCTCGGTTAACGTCTCATCCAGAACTTTTCTTGTTTGTAGGAACTAATTTAAAGGGCGAGTCCTTCAACGTTCAAAGTTCATTTTGACAAACCACAAATACGATGCGTGAGATTCTGCATGATCCAGCGTTTGCCTTTATGTTCTGAGATAATGAGTAATTATGTCTTGAACCTACTTCATTTTTAGGTCCCAATTTGCCATCATAAGCCACAGCCTGCACTTACGGGCTAAACCACAGCTAATTTATGTGACGGATAACATGTGTGACTCTTTGATACATGGTTCAGGTTTAACAAATGGCAAGAACAAAAGCTTGTAATAAAATAACTTTGAACAAAGTGGCTTTTTGAGAGAATGAATATCAGTAGCTACAGTCTGAACGATCTTGTAATGAACACACCTAGTTTGCGATTAGTTGTGTAAAAAGTATACAAACGTGATTAAAAAATGCAAGTATTTTGGTGCGTGAAGGTCTCTGGCTGTATATTGCTTAGTTCAGGAGTTCTGATTTCATAACTTAAAATCACAAAATCTCACACTCACTTTACAGCTTCAGTGAAGTCTTTTGGATAAATTAGTCACATTATTTCCTCAAGGACTGTACCCCGTCGTTGCTTGCAAATATTTATTTGATATACTGTTTTACTTTAACAAACTTCCCTGAAGAAGACCATAACATTGGTATTTAAAGCATGTTTTTAACATATGTTTCCATTCCAGATAAATATTTGCACATTATGACAGTGAACGCAGCAAATACTATTATTTACACTACATTTATCCTACACACCTGCAACCGTCCAGGTGTGCGAGGAGTGTTTATTTAGTTAGCATTTCCTCTAGACTAACATCATTGTGGTGGCAAGACCTGTTTCAGGTCAAATATACCCACAGTACCCACCTGTCTGAACTGCTCTTCATAGGTCCAGTCTGCGTGGTCCTGCCCATGGAGTGGCCCATGGGATGAATGAGCATTGGAGTGAGCCAATGCTCGCGGTTCGGTTTCAGAAGCAGGCCGAGCCTTTAGCAGCTGGGAGTGAGGGTGTAAATGGCGGTGGGGTAAGAGGAGGATGCCTCTTCCTGGGGTGACGGCCTCGCGGCCCGACGGCAGCCCTTCGTCACCTAGATCGTCATCATAGTCTTCCTCCATCTCACCCTCAAAGTCATCTTCATCCCATTTCTGTTTTCTGAAACACATTAGATGGTGAAACGTTAAAGAGGCAACACATGAGAGACGGTTCAGGCAACTCATTCATTTAATGAAACATTGCTATGGGTTCAATGTTCTCCAAATGCACTACATCAAAATTTCTGTGAGAAAATAATTTACAGAGAGCTACACATTAAATATATAGTAGGTGCAAAGTAGATTTGTACATTGTCTGAAGATATGAGGGATGTTTGTCCAATTTCTTTTTAGCTGGGTTTCCCCCCCCCCAGATTTTTGACATTTCTGACTCAAATTTGATTGTTTTTTTTATTGATTGGGTGGATGAATAGATAAAACACATAGTTTGGATCGAGTTTGTAAATGCAACATTTCACATGTGGTTAGAAATCTGACTAAAACCAGTTTTTTTGTATGCTCAGAATAGATTTAAAGTATTTTATTTCCCTTGACCCGACAAACACTACCGGTCAAATGTTTGGAATAATTAAAGTTATGTTTTTGAAAGAAGTCTCTTATGCTCACCAAGGCTGCATCTATTTGATTAAAAATACAGTAAAAACAGTAATATTGTGAAATATTATAACAATTCAATTAAAACCTAAGTTTTTTTTATTGTGATATATTTTCCCATGAAAGTTATTCCTGTGATGCAAAGCTGAAGTTCAGCATCTTTACTCAATGTATTCAGTGTCACACGACATGATCCTTCAGAAATCATTCTTGATTCTTTTTTTCTTCTTAAAAAAAAATAAATAAATCCTACTTACCCCAAACTTTTGAACAGTACTATCAGTTTCCACAAAATATGAAGCAGCACAAATGTTTTCAGCATTAATAAAAATAAGAAATGTGGCTTGAGCATCAAATCAGCATATTAAAATGATTTCTGAAGGATCACGTGACACTGAAGACTGGTGTAATGATGCTGAAAATTCAGCTTTGATCACAGGTATAAATGACATTAAAGTAGTTCTTTTAAATTGTAATAATTCACAATATTAATGTTTTTACTACATTGTGAACAAATAAATACAGCCTTGAGCATAAAATACTTATTTACACAACATAAAAAAAATGCATTATTATTACACTTTTGATTGTTAGTGTATGTAATGTAAACAACCAGCTCAAGCAGCAACCAAAAACTCACTTGCATTCATTTGCATGTGACTGCCCACTTACATCTGCTCTTCCTCCTCAGACCCCATCATATCTTTGTATTGCTCCTCCCCTTCCTCTTCATCCTCCTCTTCATCATCTACATCTCCTCCACTGCTGTGTTCAGACATGGGGCTGTCGGCCCTCTGAAGTCCAGCTGCTACTGCGCGCATCGCCGCCAGCGCCGCCATCTGCGCCTGCTCTGTGTCAGAGGCAGAGATTGCTTTAAGCTCCTCCCCCATGGGGGCGGGGCTGCGTGATTGCCCCGCCTGCTCCATCAGCAGTTTGGCTCTCTGCTGTCTGTGCAGGTTCTCCATCACCGCCTGCAGCTTCATTGCCTGAGAAACAGGACAAGCTGGGATTCTGGCCCCTTCACTTCCCCCCACACTCGAAAACAGACAGGACCACTTTTTAGAACTTGATCCAGAGGCAGGGCTTCAGAAAACAGGAAGTGTTGGTCTTCTACTAGACGGACACCTGCAGACAGCAAAGGGGAAGATGATCCCCCACACACAGGGGCCTACCTGAGAGAGAAAATAACAGAAAAAAAAATCTATATTTAAAAAACTTTTTTTTAGCCTTTTGACAATTTTCGCTATATAACAATATTTATGTCTTTGCTCTGGGAAAAACAACGCGGCACATTTATTTATTCATTTGATAAGTGGAACAATTCACAATGCAGCATATTCAAAGACTTCTGAAGCCACACATCAGCTAGTCTTTATACACTAGAATTTTGATATCCATTCAAGTAGTAAGAAGTAATGACATATGATATATGCATAGTGATGTAAATTTCAGACTGTTCCTCGCAGAGTTAAAATATAGTGCAATTTGTCGTTTGGGTTACATTTATGAAAGGTTTAGCGTCTTTTTTGAATCCTCAGTCCTCGTTCACTGGAGATAAAAAAAAAAAAAACTTCTGTGTTTCACTGAAGAATAAAAGTAATATTTAAACAATATGAGAATGTGTAAATGATTCCTGTAGTGTAAGAATAAAAAAAATTTTTTTTTTTTTTTTTTTTTTTACAAATTAAGACTATAACTGCAAAAATATCACTAACATTTATTAATAGTAATTAAGAGCAATATTAAAACGTTTTACATGAAAAACTGCACACTCATTTCAGTGAATATTTTAAAGTGATCACACAAAAACAAATAGTTGAATCAGAATTTTTAAACTGATACACTGACCATGGAGGATTGGAAGGGGAAATCAAAATACACTTACCAAGTCTAACAGTGTAACAAGTGTAAATCAGAAACACCGTCTTCAGACTTTCACTCACAGGACATGACACAAGAAGGGACTATGAAACACACAGCCTATTCACAATAATTTATCATGTCCTATAAGGAAATCATCTTTCTCCTCACATTTGCATTTCACTATTTGTCATCAATCATAACCACACCTTAGTCGATTCACTGCACTTCATAAAAAAGCATCATGACAGTGTCAACATGCCATGTGATGCTTCGTTGATTATAGGGAGAGTTCGAGTTTTGTCCCATCACGGCGCTCTTTGTGTAAAGGGGGAGTATGACATCAAATTAGTCCCTTGATGCTGGACGTTAAATTTAAAAAGTGTCTAAAATTGTTTACTCCATTAATTTTTATATACCCTCAAACTTTGTTTCTTAAATCATCTCAAATCCCTTTTCTTTTGTCCTGTCCATGTTGTGGGTCACGCAAGCAGATTTGAGCTTCCGCAAGAACCAATGAGGTTTGTTCTTGTACGTCAAACAAGTACGATTGAGCTTCCGTTGACCATTGTTTATATGTGAATAAAAGCCTATAAATCAATTCAGCCCATCATATAAAGCGCCTCAGCATTTAGTTAAACCGCTTAATTGATTTAAAAAAACAACAACAACATTTTATTACGCATTTATGAACTTGTACTTTCAACGGAGGGACAGAAATCGCTGGTCTTGAAGGTTTCATTAGTTTCTCCATTTGTGTTTTGAAGATGAATGAAAGTCCAATGGAGTTTGGAACAACACGAGGGTGAGTAATTGATAACAGTTATTACATTTGGGTGAACTATTCCGGGCACCCTTAAAAAAAATTGAGTTATGGGGAGAGAATCCAGATGGACAGGATTTTAAAGGACTCTGGGAGTTTATGGGTTAACCCACAGAAATGGATGTTGGGCACTGGCGATTGTGAAGTCTGAGCAAACACAGTGGAGATAAAGGCAGCATTAAGGGTCTAACTCCACACTGATAATGAGTGTCAAGTTGGCCAACATCCAGATTCACCATAGGGGTCTGAAATCCATGTATTTACACTATACATTCAATATGATATCATATTCTAGTCAGCCAGGACAGGAGTAAGAAATAGATAAGTCATGATGAAGATGGACAGAGAATAATGATAATTGGTTTTTCTTTTAGGCATGTAACAGAGTAAAAAAAGTTCTTCAAACAGATAAAGACAAACGAGTTTAAAAGGTTGACACTTTAATATCTCTAATACCTGCATAGACTAACTCAGTCTGTTCTATACGTGCATTGCAAAGTAATGGAAATGAAACCGAGATGTTCTGGTCTGGTGACATTCTTTACTCTAGCATTGAGATCTCAGGATTATTAGAAACATCAGATCAGTTTTGGAGAAGCCACATTAAAACTGCCGCTTGTCAAGCTACAAGTTTCTCATAATATGAAATGGATTCCATTTCCTTTCTAAACAAAATGTAATACGGTTTCCTCAGAAATGAATTTCCTTGTACGTTGATGTCACTTAACCAATAACCAAATAACCATTTTAAAGGGGTCATATAGTGCATGGTACATGCACTTTTTCAAGTTGATTGTACTGAAATGTGTGTTGGCAGTGCCTGTTCACAACCATCATATATTGATGAAAATCCATCCAGTGTTTTTGTTTTAATCTCCTTATATGTTTTCCCGTCTCAAATCGAGCCATTTGACGTCACACGGTCGGACGCCCCTCCCGCGATTGTTGATTGACAGCAGCGTTTTAACACAGACCCGCCCTCACTCGTGAGCGAGCTGTCAATCATAGTCCGTCATTAAGCTATAAGCGATTGTGGTGTTCTGTTCTTGGGTGTAATAACGAACACAGCAGTCATTTTGATGTTCCTAAATCCGAACCCGCAGAACAGAGGGGCGGAGTCAGCCCTCTGAAGCTCATTATCATTTAAAGGCATATGCACTGAAACGGCGTGGTGAAAACAGAGCTGTTTCTGACCAGGTAAAATGAGTGTTTTCTTAAAATACTAATGAGAATTTTTAAATGAAAGTATATTACAAAGTTTTCATTTAGACCCTAAACATTCATATTAACTTGTACAAAAATGGCATTATATGACCCCTTTAACAAACTAACCATCTAGGTTTAATATGGAATGTATCAATTTGGTTTTTAAGAAACAGAATACAGAAACCAACACTACTACGTAATTTCACATCACCAGTGTCAACATTTCACATCTCTCATGTGTACTAAGAACGAGGCACCTGTTAATCACACTGATAAGTTGTCGCACTGCAGTAAATGAAGAAAAGCACAGACTTTCTAAATGCCTATAGTGGAATCTTAAAGGGGATTTGTGTGTGTGTGTGTGTGCGCATCATAGATCATTAAATTATTCCTAATGGGTCAAGCTCAATACTCAAGTAGATAGGACACTTATTTACACAGATGAAAATCTTCGATTGATTGTTTTATGATTTACTAATCTTACAAATAGTCGATTCTAACTCTTCTCACTTTTTAAATGTGTCTTGCCTAGATCAACATATAAGCTCAGGTGACAATAGCTCATTTTGGCTGATAACCTGTACCGGTTCCAAAATCTACCAACACCATTGTCAAAGGAGAATAAACCTTTTCTGCAGTGGTTGATCGATGGGGTCCTCTTTTAAATGACTGATGATGCAAACAAAACTAGACTGCAGGGTGACCAATAATGACAAAATATATGGCATTATTATAAAAACTGACATGCACACATCTATGCCGTAAAAAGTGAACATATTTACACAATATGAAGTTGGAAACTTAATTCACTACAACATAAAACAGAAACTGACTGTGGATTGACTTGACATATGGGAGAGTAAACATTTCAGTTAATCAACCATGTGGATGTGACTACCTAAAAATACAAAATAGTACCTATTTTTTTAATTGATGAACAAATTAGTATTATAACCCCAACAACCTACTTATCTAAAACCCTAAAATGTTCTAAAAATTTTCATAAAATGATGGGGTTTCATAAAGGGAAAGATGTAATTAAAGTGTTTTTTTTTAGCTTGTGTTGGGCAATGGAAAAACCCTTTACATAAAATTACAGCAAGAGATCCTGGGCTTCCACCTCAAGCATCGGTTTGATGTCTCTTGAAATGGTATTTTCAATGTTTCAGGGAAGGTGAGCCATCTCTTCAGCGGTTCCCATGACGATGGCGTGTGTAAGGGCTGTGGGCAAATCTGAGGTCAAAAGCGTGGGCCTCCATATACATGAGATTTCCTTCCTCAGAACAGTAAGAGAACAGAAGTGCACATGATTTCACACTCTTGGCCCTGTATTCTTCAGGATATTGTGCCATTGAGAAGACTTGACACACAAGAGAACAACTTTTTTTCTTATAAAATAAGGAAATGTTATGTACCAAAGCACTAGCACTCCTATAAAGTATTGGTAAAAAAACAACAACAAAAACATAAGCAAATATGAGTGAATATAAAAGCAATGGAATCCAAAAGCAATAAATTGGCATGATGTTTAATAGTGAACGTGCAAATCGTCTAAAAACAATGTCTTCAACACCTTTTTCTCTTCAAGAACAGGATGTAACATAACATACTTTAAAGCTGCAGTAGGGAGTTTTGAGAAAACGGTGACTTAGCCTGAAAATTTGAACAAGCACAACTTACAGGTCCCACCCCCTTGCTCTCTGCTGCGCTACAGCCCTCCCTCCACAGCGGAGCCTGTCGTGAACGCGCAGGCTAGCAAACAGGGCCACCGATAACAGCGGAGGATAAAAAGTTATATGGCACATTCACTAATAGGGACTAAACGTCAACAATATGCTTTACATTGACTATGGCCTGTCCATACTTTGACTACAAACTTGGTCCTCAAATCATTATGTATTTTGCAATAGCCTACATGTAACTTTATAACGTTGCACTCTTTCTATAAGTTATAAATAGCTAGTAAGATAACGTTAATATAACAATAACTAACGTTACAGTATGCAAGTAATTATTCTAGCGATATATAATGCTAGATAAGGTGTGCTAGTACATTATTTCAGCAACATGACAAGCCAGTGAATTAGCAGGTTTCAATTGTTGCTTAGCAGAGTGCGTGACATTTTATCTACATGTTATGCGGCTAGAGTTTTGACACCGAGTCAATGGGCTCTGTGTAATTCTTTCTTTTTCGCTTGTTTATCGTCATCAGTCTTTTTCCTTTTACCTCTTTGTTTTATGAGCAGGTGTCACTCGAGAATTGGCCGTTTAGGTTGTTTCTCC